TTCAGCATGCACTGCCAGCCTTCCCCCATGTTCCTTCTCCCCCACTGTATCCCTTCTCCCCCTGACACACCACACCACACCTTGTAAAATTGGGATCAAAGAAGTTTCATTCTGGAATTGATAATCTAAGGATAAAAATGCTGATTTTAATAATTTTCACTAGTTCCTGCCTTTTAAAGTAGGTAGGCCTATGGGTTTTATTCTGGAAATCACTGGTGGGTCACACCATTAATTATGCTTGTATTATGTTATTTATCAACTAAACAGCATTTGAAAGAAAAATCCAATTCCTTTAATATGCCTTCAGATCTGTTACAGCATTTCATATTTGTGATGCAATAGAACACTTGCCTGTATTAAAAGGGCCAAAAGTAAATGCCTTTTTTGTTGAACATGTCTATAGAGTTGGCAGTTAATGCTGAAATTTGTCAAGTAGCCCTTCCAAAATTAAACTTGTAAAATACACAAAAAATAAATGTCTACCTAGTATCTATTGATTAAAAAAAAAAAAAGAAGCTATTTACACTGTATTATTTGATATTAAAGAACCTGTTAACATTGTTTCTGATTCACAATATGCTGTCAAGGTTACTTCTTTAATCAAGACTGTAACAGTACCTAACTCTAATCTGCCTATTATTCAACAGTTTAATCAATTACAAAATGCTATTTTTTATAGAAACAATCCTTTTTATATTACTCATATTCAATCACATTCACAACTTCCAGGACCTTTAGCAGAAGGAAAAAATACTACTGACACTTCATTTCTTTCTCTTCATAATTTCATGAACTACCACACTTAAAAGTTAAAGGATTATAACATAAACTTCAATTGACTTGTCAACAAGCTAAAGATATTGTATCTCATTGTCCTTCCTGTCAATAAGTTAATTCTACTTCAGACATTGCCTGAAGGTGTTAACCCACAGGGATTATTTCCCAATGATATTTGGCAAACTGATGTAACACATATTCCAACATTTGGCAATGCTGGACTAGTCCATGGGTCTATTGACGCTTATTCTGGAATATTTGCATCACATCATACAGGAGAAACTGCAAATCAGTGGATTTCTCACTTCAAACAAGCTTTTGCTTACATGGGACTCCCTAAACATAAAAAAACTGATAATGGACCAGCTTGTACAAGTCACACGTTAAAATTATTTTTGGAAGACTGATCTATTAAACACATCACTGGAATTCCATATAACCCACAAGGATGAGCTATAATTGAACAAGTCCACTGAACATTAAAAAACACTTTACAAAAGCAAAAAGAGGGAGAAAGGTATGGAATAGGACCTAATTCCCCCCAAAATAAATTAGCAATAGCTCTTTTTACTTTAAATTTTTCCGATATTAGAGGGGACAATACAGAACCAGCAGCTACAATACACTGGACAAATAATCAAACTACTAATGATTTGCTTTCTAAAAGAGAAACCTTACAACAAACTCAACAAGTCTTATGGAAAGACAATAAGAGTTGGAAAAGGGAATTTTACTTAAACAAGGATGAGATTATGTTCTTATTTTAACAGAAGAAGATGAACATTGGTGGATCCCAAGATGAAAAATCCGGCCCTGGAAAGAAAAGGACCTACTTTGATACAGACCCACTGTTTGAACCCACGCTTGGAGCCATGTCACTGCTTCTCCTAAATACTGGACTATCTCTATCAAAAATAACCCAAGAAGCACCTTTGCCAACTTGAGGACAGATAGAGAAACTATCTCTAGAGGCAGAGAAGATGGTACATAGAAGAAGACTGCCAAAAACACCAGACAACCTGTTCTTGGCTATGGTCACTTTGCTGACCATGCAGTAAGTACACAAGCTATAGGTAGTCATCACTATTGGACTTATATACCTAATCCTCCCCTGCTGAGACCTGTGACTTGGGAAGATTCGCCGGTCCCATTATTCGTAAATGATTTGGCCTGGCTCCCCGGACCATATGATCAAAATTTTCCTATTAAAAAGGAAGAAGAAGGTCGCCAGTTGGTAAATTATAATATTGGCTCTGATGCCACTCCTATTTGTATTGGTTTTGGAAGTGTATGCCTTAAAACAGGATATCAAAAATGGCTGTCAGTTGTCAAAGAATCAAATGATAATAAGACTTCCTTCTTTTTGTTAACTGCTCTTGCTTTTTTAGAAAAGGAAACTTCCGGCATGATGAATCCACCTGACCTTCCTGACTGTATTGCTGAAATTAGCCATGGTATTGAAAATTGGATACAAACGAAATTATGTAAGGGATCAGAAGGTCACTTATTATTAAATGTTACAGAAGGCTCCATTATCAATTAGGGATCCCGAGGAACCCCTAAACTTAAAGAATCTAAAGTGTCTTCCCCATGGGTATATAAAAATAAGGCCTTTAGTACTTATGGTAGTCAATCCCTCATATGGCATGGAGCAGGATTTGCTCCCCCCATGCCTCGTTTAGATCATTACCTTATTCAAAATGAAATATGGAACATACCCATGACTTTGAAAAAATTAATCGCTTGGAATGGAGGATAATGACCCAAAAGCTACCTTTAACTTTACAAAAAACTCTACCCACACTATTCAAACTTGTGTAAGAATTCCTTTTGTTTTTATGACTGTATCAGCAAAATATAATCCAAATTTGGGATTAATAACATGTCTTAATTGTTCATTTTATACATGTATAAATTATGCCATTCCTTTTAATGAAAGTTGGCAAAGTATTTATATTCTTAAAACCAGAACTGGCATATGGGTTCCAGTTGATTTACAATGACCTTGGCAAGAAAGCCCTACATTGTATGCTATTGAAGGAATATTGTAAAATCTTAAATGTATTAAACATTTTCTGGGATTGCTAATTGCTATCATTTTAGGCATTATGGATAGCTATGACCACTATGGCAGCCATAGCTGGAGTGGCTTTTCATCAGTCTATACAAACAGTTCATTTTATACAAGAATGGCGTAGAGATGCCGACGTCCTTTGGACCACTAAACAAAAAATTGACGGAAAGTTGGCTTCCCAAGTGGCCGACTTTCAACAATCTATTATTTTATTAGGAGAACAACTAGTCAGTTTATAAAAACAGATGAGACTAAAATGTGATTGGAACTATACTTCCTTTTGTGTAATGGCTTACAAATATAAGAAGACACAATTCAATTGGGATAAAGTTAAACAACACCTATTGAACCAAGGTAATATTTCTGTAGATATTCAAGACTCACAACAAGATATATTAAAAGTTTTTAATAAACATCTCAATATAATTACTGGATCAGATTTTGTTGATAAGTTGCTAACAATCTTTCTTCTCTTAATCCCTTAAAACAGATCAAAACATTTGGATATGGAATTGCTCTGGTTATGGGAATGCTATTAATTATGTGTTTGTGTTTCTGCATAGTCTGGAGAAGAACAATCAAGAGACAACAAAGCCAACAACAGCAACTAGCATTTCTCACCATTTCTCATCATGTGGAAAATCAAAAAGGGGGAGATGTAGGAGACAGGAAGAATAGAAGAAAAGCAGGCCCCAGCGAGGGCCACAGAAGGAATTTATGATTATTGGTAAACTGGATGCTTTAAGGCATGGGACTCTTGGAACAAGTCCAGAGGGAACAGTTCATAATCTTGAAAACAAGATATGATCCTAGGGGGTGGAAAACCAACCCCAGAGTGTTTCCCAACTGGCCTCTCAGAGTCACATGTTTTTCGTATCTGGGGGAAATCTATAGATATTAGTTACTGATTTGTTATTGATTATTGTTTCTCATTTACCCAAAGGTTAATGATCACTTTGTTCTTTGGCCCAGGCCACAAGAGTTATTGCTTAACCCCCTGCACATTCCTTCCCTCATGGCTGAGAGTATAACAAAGCTGGCACGGATTCAGTTTCAGCACCTTCACCTTGGAGCGGTGTTGGTCCCCCGATCCTCGCCTTTCACTGAACTCTTGTGTCTTGTTTCTTATTCTCCCTCTGCATCACGCTTCGTGAAACCCTGCTAGTAGAGCCAGACACGACAGACTATAAAGAAAGCTGAGCGCTGAAAAATTGATGCCTTGAACTGTGGTGTTGGAGTAGACTCTTGAGAGTCCCTTGGACTGCAAGGAGATCCAGCCAGTCCATCCTAAAAGAAATCAGTCCTGAATGTTCATTGGAAGGATTGATGCTGAGGCTTAAACTCCAATACTTTGGCCACTTGATGCGAAGAACTGACTTGTTGGAAAAGACCCTGATGCTGGAAAAGATTGAAGGCGGGAGGAGAAGGGGAGGACAGAGGATGAGATGGTTGGATGGCATCACCGACTCAATGGGCAGGAGTTTGAGTAAGCTCTGGGTGTTGGTGATGGACAGGGAGGCCTGGCGTGCTGCAGTCCATGGAGTCGCAAAGAGTCGGACAAGACTGAGCGACTGAACTGAACTGAATATTTACTGAGCATTTATGATTGCTAGGCTTTTTACATGTTTCATCTCACTCGTCTCTTACAATATCCCATGGCACAGGTACTTTCATTATCATTTCCAATTTACAGGTGAGAGAAACTGAAGTTAAAGAGATTAAATAACTTCTCCAGGGCGCCCCTCGTTCATAAGTGGAAGACTCCATTCTAGTGACGTTCAGAGGCCAGGCAGAGGGGCTAGACATTACCACCTAACACAACTATTCTGTAGGGACCAGGTCCCTGAACAGTGAGCTCCACGAGCAAGCCCCAGGTGGAAAACTGCACGCCCTGCCGCTCCATCCCCGCCCGGGTCCCGGGTTCCGTCCCCTGCCCAGCCCTTTGCCTCATCCACTCCCTGCCGACCGACCATTAACCCTGCTCACTCCTGCCGCCCTGCCCCAGGCCTGCTCCTGCCCACTGCCCCGCCCGGTTCCCAGATGCCCCACCCCTCTCCCCGCCCCAGTTTGGGGCCCTGTCACTCATTGGCCCCGCCCCCTGCCCCGCCCCAACCCGCTGCCCCGCCCCGCCCATCGCCCTGCCGCGCCCTCCCTGAAGCCTACCTGGTCTGGGAGCTGAGCGTCTAGGACTCACCTCGCAGACCGGTCGACTCCTCCTCCAGCCGCTGCTTCGGCTCGTCTCGCCTCAGACCCGGCGCTGGAAGTAGGGCGCTGGGTGGGATCCGGGGACTGGAGGCTGACTGGGTCACGGGGGCCACGGCCACTTTCATCCCCACAAGTGGCCTTGCCAGGCTCCTCACTGGCGCGAGCCCTGAGGGACCCTCTGAGGAGAGGAAACGGGCGCTTGGGGTCACCCCTCAGCCTCAGTGTCTCCCTCTGAGCCTCGGGCCTTCAACTCTGAGGAATCGTGTGTGGAGGAAGCCCTAGACGTTCGTGTCCTGGATGCTCGTTGTCTTCTCCTCACACCCCCACCCCGCACCCAACCCTAGCGCCTTCCATTCCTCTCCCCTCCCTCCTTCTCGCTCCCCGGAAGGAGTACTCCCCGTGGCTCTTCCCCCACCTCCCCGAGCGTCCACTTCTGCCCCTTTATCCTCCCCTGAATCTCCCCTTCGCCCACCGCCCTCACTCCTCACCAGGGATCCCTTCCCATGAATTAAGCCCACTCCCTGGCTTCTACTACCATACTATCCTTAGCTTTACGTTGGGCTTCCCTGGTCGCTGAGACAGTGAAGAATCTGCCTGCAAGGTGGGAGACCCGGGTTCGATCCCTTTGTCGGGAAGATTGCCTGGAGAAGGAAATGGCAACCCGTGCTGGTATTCGTGCCTGGAAAATTCCATGGGCAGAGGAGCCTGGCGGGCTACTGTCCATGGAGTCGTAAAGAGTCGGACACGACTGAGTGACTAACTCTTTTCTTTACCTAGCTATAGGTTCATGAACTCAATTCAACCTACAAATAACTCTCAGGACATTGGGACTTTTGTGAGGGATTTGGGGGGGTGGGGCGGGGGATTTTGTGGGGTATGGGGGATTGGAGGCTCGAGAAAATCAATGTCTCAGGAATACTAAATCACAGGTTTATTTTTTTTCTTAAAGTTTACTAATAATCATACACCTGGGAGTAATTGAAAAGGACAAACTGGAATTTATTCCAAGATACCAAACGCACAGATTAAAAAGGAAGACAGTGGAGCCAAGGCAGACAAAGGCCATATTCATTAAAATCTTTAGCCCACCCACTGAGAAATGTGGTTTAGTAGATTGCATAACCACATTTATTTTGGGTCCAATGATTTGATTCTTGCGGTGGAAATGGCATTGATCACCTAAGTTTTTAATTCTGTGGCTGATTTTGTTTTTGTGTTTATTTTGGCTCAGTTTTCCCTTTTATTGGAACTTTAAGAAGCAAAAATATGCTTCTCTAGTGGCAGGTTAAGATTACTTATATGTAAGCAATAACTTGATTCTTTGTCAGTCAGTCAAGGTGTCCTGACATTCCTTTGCTAATAATGAAGCCTTATGATGTTACTGAGAATAGTACAGTTTGTAGAAATGTTCATAAATTTTTTACCTTCAAGTGAAGGTTTTCTTTTACCATTCTTATTTCAAAACATTTAAATCTGATTCTTTTTTGTTCTTCTGATTCTTTTTCTGTAGTCTCTTGTTTTCTTAATTTTTCTACTTTATGGTCCTTTGGATTTCCATTATTTTAACTTCATAAATTAATACATCATTGAATAAACCATAGTATCTTAAAGAAAACAAAGGAATTCAATACCTGGATATAAATCAATGATCTCACACTTCCCAAACTAAAGTTTTAGAAAAGTGGTTACCTGTGTTTGCTTTTCTTAGTTTTTTCTACCTTTTGCTATTCTGTTGCTTTCCCTATATTTCCATTTCCTATTCCCCCCCCCCCCCAGTCTTCCTTCTCTATTTATTTAATGTGTCTGTGCTAAGTTGCTTGTCTGACTCTTTGTGACCCTATGGACTGTAGCCTGCCAGGCTCCTCTGTCTGTGGGATTCTCCAGGCAAGAATACTGGACTGGGTTGCTATGCCCTCCTCCAGGGTATCTTCCCGACCCAGGGATTGAACCTGCATCTTTTATGCCTCCTGCATTGCAGGCGGGTTCTTTATCACCAGTGCCACCTGAGAAGCCCGTTATTTGATTATGTTGCTGCTGCTGCTAAGCTGCTTCAGTCCTGTTTGACTCTGCGACCCTGTGGACTATAGCCTGCCAAGCTCTTAGAATTCACATCCTTTATATAGTATATGTACAATGTATGAAGTGCTCAGTGATCAGAATACATTTAAACCAGGTGCTATTCACAGTTTTAATAGAGTTCTGTCATTAGTTTATAGTTTTGTATTTTAAACCAGTTTCTTTTCACAAGAAAGTAATTTGAATTGAATAATGTGTTGAATTAGAAGTTAATCTGTTATAGAATTAATGAGAAATGGTTTTGCTTACTGTAAAATAGCACTAATAGTGTTTTGTATTAAAATTTAAATATCTTTTCATATTCTCTCTAGTTCATTAAATATTACTAAGAAATACAGACAACATGTTCTACACACATGTGCTTATGAGTAAGCGAGGGCCATTGGCCAAAATCTGGCTTGCAGCTCACTGGGAGAAGAAACTCACAAAGGCCCATATATTTGAATGTAATCTAGAAATAACCATTGAAAAAATTCTTTCTCCTAAGGTATGTTATTGATTAAAATTATAGGATGTATTTACTCTGGCTTATGAAGAGTAAAGGAATTAAAAGACATTATACCATGCAGTGTATTTCCTAGGAAGTTTTACTATTCAAATGGTCTTCTTTTTTTTTAATTCCTAAGCATTTATTGTCTGAAAATAAACATATATTGGTTTCTGTTGGTAGTTAACTTTTTAATATGTTTATCATAAATAGACTGGATCCTGAAGGATAAAGACCATGCTTTATAACTATTTTGTGATTGTTTCTTATTTGCTAACAAAATATTATATACATAGTAGGTACCAAGTGAATATTTCTTAGAAAAATAATGAGTGAATGAATAGGGAGAGTAGAAGGAAAGGAGGATTGAGTATAAATAAAAATATATGTGAAAACATCATTAAACAAAGTACTATATTCATTATAAAACAGTTACAAGTTACTAGAATTTGCATTAAAATATTATTTTAATATTTGTATAGGTTAGGTATTTTTCTTCTTAAGAGAAGGATGAATTATATATTATATATCTAATATATTCAATATATAATATTTAATAATTTTCAATATGTAATATATTCAATTATATATTGAAATCTTACCTTGTGCCCAGCACTGGGCTAGACTTTAATTTTTTTTAGTTTGTTTAATCTTCACAGGAACCCTATGAGATAGGCTTCTTTTAGCCTCAGTGAATGTGATATTTAAGAGCATGAACTTCTGAGTTGGTCAAATTTAATTTCTGCTTCATCGCTTTATAGTTTTGTTACTTAGGTATGCTGTTTATCACGTCTGAGTCTCAGTGTTTTCTTCTGTAAATAGAGGTTGTTGTCAAAATTAAATAAATTAATGTATGAAAAGCTCTTAGGACACAAAACAAGTGTATAATAAATCGTAGTCATGATTAATAAATTGAAGTTCAGGAAGGTTAAATGACTTAGCCTCAGCAACTGAACCAAGGCTTGAACCCAAGTCTGCCTGACTGCAAAGTTTATGTTGTTTTCATAAAATCAACAATAGTATATTTCATTTAAATGCCACATTAGATTATCTTCACTAAATTAAAAAGTTAATCATTTTACAAGGTGAGGTAAAAGTCAAATGATTTACCTTAAATAAGAATACAATAATAAGATACATACAATACAATAAAATACAATAAATAAGAACATTGCTTTTTAAAGAGAAGGAATTCTTATGATTTTATAATTTTCAAAGAACAGAGTTTATAAATCTAATTTTTAATATTCTAATACTTTAAAAATTATTGAAAGGTGAAAATTGCACTGCGAACTTCAGGACACCTTCTTTTGGGAGTTGTTCGAATCTATAATAGGAAGGCAAAATATCTTTTGGCAGATTGCAGTGAAGCCTTGCTTAAAATGAAGATGACATTTCGCCCAGGTATAAGTGTGATATTGATTTGTCTCACTTGTTTTTTTTTCCCTTTTGCATTTTCAGTTTGGGTGGGCTCTTTTAATTGTTGATACTTTATAATTCCAGGGTGGGTATAATGAATGGAAAACTTCCTTTTGAGTGGAACTTAGTTTCCACGGTTAAGAACAAATTATATTATTTTCCTTGCTCTTTTACTGTGTTTGGGGCAAGAGGTTATACTTTCAAAAACTTGAAATGTTCTTGCATATTTACATAAGAAATGTATTTAAAGCTACCACAGTTGTATAAGAAACTCTGACATTCAGTTTTAATGGGTTTCTTTGTTTGCCATGTCTGTTTTTGCCTTTATGAGATAAATTAGAAATAATGTATTGACAGAACCTATATATCAATAATTGTCATTGTTTTCAGAATTCTGGAGACTCTTAAGTAGCACACTATTTATGAAATATTATAGAAAATCTCTAGGCATTCCAAAGTGCTAGAGATTTACATGTGTCATAAATAGAATGTCTTCATAAATTTTTAATTTAACTTTAATTTTATGACTTTCATCATTTTCCACCTTGTACTATGTTTATTTAGGTATAAACCTTTCCTCTCACACCAGTCTGCAAGCTCCTTGAAGGCAATATCTTTGTGATATTTATTTTCTGAATCACTTACAGTACTTGTCTCAGTCCTATGTAAATAGTGTTCCCTCAATTAGTACTGGTAAATCAATATTGACAAGGTTTTTTTTTCTTTATTTAAAATATTTGTAAGATTTCTAGATAGTTGTGGTTCACTTATATATTCCATAAATATTTATTGAGCTCATACTTTGTGTGAAACACTATGTTAGGCTCTGGTTACAAAGACAAGCAAGACAAAGTCCCTTTTGGCCTAGTGAGGAAATCAGATGATGAAAAAGATATTTTTTAAATTATTATAATAATTATAGATTGTGCTATGAAGGAATATGAAAAGAGTACTACCACAGAAAATAACAGACATGTATTTTAGTTAGGCAAGTTGGGAAAAGCCTTTCTGAGTGGATAGAATTTAAGCTTAGACTTGAAGAATGAGAAGTATCCAGCCATGTAAGACATCCCTAAAGGAATAGCATTCTGGGCAGAGGGAACTGCAAGAGCAAAGGTCTTGAGGTAGTAAGGTGCTTGACTCATTCAGAGAGCAAAAAGACCAGTACATTTCGAGTAGAGTGAGTAAGGCAAAGTGTTGTTAGATGATGCCTATAGGTTTTGTAGGGGTGCAGGGCCCTGATTAGAAATTTAAATTTTATTTAAGTGTACTAGGGAAGTCACTGAGTCATTTTAAGTTTGAGAGTGATCTGACCTAATTGCATATTTAATATATCACTCTGGCTGTTTTGTAGAGAACAGACTGAAGAAAGGTAGGAGCAGATTACAGGGAAACGAGTTAGGAGACTAAACAGTCCAGTGAGAAGAAGTAGAGATTTAGTTTATTGAATGTGGGGGGAGTTTTGTTTCATTTTTTTTTTTATCGTTTTCAGGATTGGTTGACCTTCCAAAGGAGAGTTTTGAAGCGACATACAGTGCTATCACATTGCCTGAAGAATTTCATGATTTTGACACCCAGACTATGAAGTAAATTATTTTATTTCTTTTCCTTCAATTTGATTTTCCTGGTAATTTACTGCTTACATTTTCAGATTTCACGAACACAAATAGAACATAGTTACTAGCTGAATTACTCATGTAGTTGACAAAGACTTAAATTTAGTGCGAAATTTCAAAGAAGAACAAAAATGTATCATTATGTTTGCTGAATATAGTTTGCAATATTGACAGTACAGTCATTCATTCAGTATTTGTTGAGTGCCTTCCATATGCCAAGCACTGTTACAGGCACTGAGGAGGTAACAATGAATAAAACACTGTTCCTGGTTACACGAATCTTGTGTTTTAGTTGGGGAGAGACAGATAATAAGACGAACAAGTAAATACACAATATACTAGGAGATGATCAACATTATGGAGAGAAGTAGAAAATAAAGTATCAGAAAGGTCAAGAAAGGCTTTACTGATAAGCTCTGAACAGAAACCTGAAAGAAATGAAGGAATAAGTTATTCAGTAATGTGGGGAAGAAAGTTCCACGTAAATCAAATGAAAAAAACTCTAAGGCAGAGCGTGTTGGATCTGTTCAAAGAACAGCAAGGAGGCAAGTGAGTCTGGAGTGGAGTAAGTGAAAGGCCCAAGTGGTAGGATATGAGGTCAGAGAAGTAGCTGGGGTGCAGATGTCAGAAGGTGTTGTAGGCTATAATAAGAACTTTTCTTTTACTCAGATGGGGTGCACAGGAGGGTTTTGAACAGGTTAAGTGACTGGATCTGACTTGACTTCAACATGCTTCCCTCTGGCTACTTACTAAAAGAGGGGAAGGGAGGAAGCAGAGAGCCTGTGAAAAAATTATTGCTGTAAGAAATCAGATGAGAAATGGCAGTCTCTGTGATCAGCTTTTAGTCTTCATTTTACCCAGATGGTGTTTGCTAAGGATTGGATATGGCTTTAAGAGAAAGAAAGAGGTGAGGTTGACTGTATGATTTCTGGTGTGAGAATGGAGTTACCAGTTTAATAAAATTAGGATAACTAGAGAATGGCAAGCTTAAAGGGGCAAGGTAAAAGAAAGTAAATTAGGTTTGGGACATAAGTTTTGAGATGGCTGTTACACATCCAAGGGAGCAGGTAGGTAGTCGAATATGTGGGTCTGAAATTCAGGAAAGATGTTTGATGGGGTATATAAATTTTATGGGATACATAAATTTGTGAGTTGTGAGTATTGATAACTTATGGTGAACAGTATCAGATTTGTGATCTCCAAAGAAGATTTAGCTTCCGGGACTAGGGACCAGGCTTGATCACTCAAGAGCTTTTGTATAGCAGAGTTTTATTAAAGTGAAAAGGGACAGAAAAACCTTCTGACATAGACATCAGAAGGGGGCTGAGAATGCCCCACTCACTAGTCTTCAGCAAGGGAAGTATATACTTTTTAATTAGTTATTACAAAAAATCAAAAGAATGTGTCAAGTTTGTGAAAATTTTACCAGACCCACTCCTACAATTTACACTTTAGGATAACAGGATCAGAATTTAACAATAGAAAGATCCTACTAGATCCACTTCCATAATTTACATTTTAAGATATCATGATTAGTCAGAAGGTTTTCAGGAAGGAGAAACTGTCCTCAAGCAGGGTACGTTGTTGTTATATAATACCTAGTTCAGTTCAGTTCAGTCGCTCAGTCGTGTCCGACTCTTTTGTGACCCCATGAATCGCAGCACGCCAGGCCTCCCTGTCCATCACAAACTCCTGGAGTTTACTCAAACTCATGCCCATCGAGTCGATGATGCCATCCAGCCATCTCATCCTCTGTCGTCCCCTTCTCCTCCTGCCCCCAATCCCTCCAAGCATCACGGTCTTTTCCAATGAGTCAACTCTTCGCATGAGGTGGCCAAAATATTGGAGTTTCAGCTTCAGCATCAGTCCTTCCAGTGAACACCCAGGACTGATCTCCTTCAGGATGAACTGGTTGGATCTTCTTGCAGTCCAAGGGACTCTCAAGAGTCTTCTCCAACACCACAGTTCAAAAGCATCAATTTTTCGGCACTCAGCTTTCTTCACAGTCCAACTCTCACATCCATACATGACCACTGGAAAAACCATAGCCTTAACCAGACAGACCTTTGTTGGCAAAGGAATGTCTCTGCTTTTTAATATGCTATCTAGGTCGGTCATAACTTTCCTTCCAAGGACTAAGCATCTTTTAATTTCATGGCTACAATCACCATCTGCAGTGATTGTGGAGCCCCAAAAAATAAAGTCTGACACTGTTTCCACTGTCTCCCCACCTATTTGCCATGAAGTGATGGGACCAGATGCCATGATCTTAGTTTTCTGAATGTTGAGTTTTAAGCCAACTTTTTCACTCTCCTCTTTCACTTTCATCAAGAGGCCTTTTAGTTCCTCTTCACTTTCTGCCCTAAGGGTGGTGTCATCTGCATATCTGAGGTTATTGATATTTCTCCTAGCAATCTTAATTCCAGCTTGTGCTTCTTCCAGCCCAGCATTTCTCATGATGTACTCTGCATATAAGTTAAATAAGCAGGGTGACGACATACAGCCTTGACGTACTCCTTTTCCTATTTGGAACCAGTCTGTTGTTCCATGTCCAGTTCTAACTGTTGCTTCCTGACCTGCATACAGGTTTCTCAAGAGGCAGGTCAGGTGGTCTGGTATTCCCATCTCCTTCAGAATTTTCCACAGTTTATTGCGATCCACACAGTCGAAGGCTCTGGCATAGTCAATAAAGCAGAAATAGATGTTTTTCTGGAACTCTCTTGCTTTTTTGATTATCCGCTAGTACAGAGTTTAAACTGACTTGTTTGTTTTGTAATCATCAGTTCCCGGCTTAAAGGAAAAAACATTTTATGTGACTAAGACTAAAGAATGTAGAGGAAAAAAGTTTGTCCTTTCCTCCTCCTTGAGAGTTCCAAACCCCTATCTCCTCCTTGAGAGCTTCAGACCCCTTTCTCCTCTTCTGGGAACCTAGACTTCTTATCAACCTGCCTAGGAATTGACTCTCTCAGTATGTAGATGGAACTTTAACCATAAGTCATAAGAGATCCCTAAAGGAATAAGTGTAGATTTTAAAGAGAGGGGAAGGAAGGAGAGAAAGTGGGGGGATGAGAGCGATCTGAAGACTGAATATTGAGTCATTCCTATTAGTTAATAGTCTGGGAGATGAGGAAGAACTAATAAAGGAGATGGAAAAGGAGCAACCAATGAGGCAGAAAGAAAATCAAGATACAGTAGTGTGGTAGAGGTCAGTAGTTATTGCAGAGGTTAAGAGGAGAAAGTGTTCCATGAGGAAGGGAGTGAACATCTATTTCAAATGCTGTTGATTATGGTGAGTAAAATGAGGATTGAGAAATACTGGTTGGATTTGACAACCTGAAGATGATATGCATGTATAATAAACTAATGTTTATAAGTAATACTATTGAGCAAATTCTGCTTTATTTTTGTAATAAAACCTGTTTTTTAAAGGATTTTGTTTGTTTCTCAGTATACTGCAAAATCACTGTGTTCTGTTCACATGTTTCCCTCAATCTTGTATTTCTCCATAGTGCTATTGATGTTTCAGAATGCTGTATTCAGAACCAAAGCAAACCAGAAGAAATCACACTTAGAGAAGATTATGGCAATGATCTACTTTTCCACGCTGGAAGCTTTGGTGAGAACATTTGAGAAATTAAAGCTACAAGTCATAATCAGTTATATTTTTATTTTTGTTGTATAAATAAAACAACACCAAAGCTATTTCTATGCCAGCAGAAATATCTGTAGAATGAATTTTTGATATATGAATTTAACCCCTGCAGTGAGTTTATCTTTGCCTTTTTCTACTATAGGTGTCAAATGCTAAGACTCATTCTTAGCCTATATTTCCCTTCTCAGTGTACAACCATTTATCATCTACTATATGTCAGATACTGTCACAGGATGTGCAATGCAAAGTTTAAAGAAGCATTTCTTGCCTTCAAGGAACTTCAGGCTGGGAGAGAACAACTATAACAGTTGTTATAGTTAACATGTACACAAGGCTTTGCATGTGTGCTGCATAGAGTCTTTAAAATATATTTCTTTTAAATATGATATCAATAACAAGATTTTAAAATAGCTTGGAAATGAGGAAGAAATACACACTAAATATACATTGATTGGGAAAGAGAAACTATTTAATGTATTTTCAAATTGAAGTTATATGGTGTAATTTAACTTTATAGTACTTGTTCTTTTTTTTGACACTTACCACTCTCTGACTTGTATCATGACATTTATTGTATTGGTCTGTATTATTCTGAAAACTCCATGAGGGTAAGATCTGTGTCATATTCATCTTCAATTTTCTTAATGCGCAAAGCAGTGAGCATAGGAGAAGGATGGCCTAAAGCTGTCTTAGATGGAGGAGGGTGGTCAGGATAGTAATGTTTGAGCTACATCGTAACCTCCACTTTTCATCCTGACTCTTCTTCCATAACTCTTATGATCTATAGCAGTGTTTCTCAAATGAGCTATGGTGAAGGACCAACTTTATACTTTGTCAATTTCCTATCTGTTATGGAGTGATACTTTTGTAAAATATAATAAAAATGAATTACTAGAAAAATTAAAAAATTTTAGATCAACATATAAGCCTTATGTTTTTGTTATTAGATCCAACATGTATAAAATTACTCTATGACATTATGTTAAAACTTTGTAAACATTTACCTCTAATTTGTGTATTTACTCTCTTGTGGATCATCACTGTCCACAGACCCTACTTCGAGTAGCACACATCTCTTATTGGCTGTTACCCCAGACCTTGAAATCTCACACATTGGTAGAGTTAATCATAGTTCTTACTGCCCAAGGCACTCTATGTACATTTCCCTGTAAATGCTCTTCAGCCCTGATGCTTTAGGATCACTTTTAATTATGCTTTCGCTAAGCTTCATTCCAGTGTCCGTGTTTTTTTTTTTTTAAGTTGGACATGTCTCTCAGTCTCTTCCCACATTTTATACATCTGTGCAAGAGCAATTGTCCTTAAATTCCATTTTTTTTCCATGTCACATTCCTCTTAAGTGCCTTGGGTCCCTATAACTAACTGATAGACACTTCTGCCTATCCTCAAGGCACTCTACCAGTTTATCATCTTTATTCTATTAACTTTGTTTTACCTTAATACAGACTTTTTGCTCTAGTCAAGCAAATGTCTTACCAGTCACCCGACACAGTTTAATTGTTCTCAGTTCTGTCTTCCTCTACACTTCAAGAAGGTGGGAAGAATATGTGCAGAGTAGACTGACAGACCTGGGTTTGAATCTGAGCTTCCTCTGTTAATTTGCTGTGTGATATTGGGCAGATCACCTAGCTCTTCTGAGCCTTACTGCCCTATTCGTAAAATTGGGATATTGCTAGCAACATCACAGAGTTATTTCCCCTATTCTCTCCTTCAGTACTTTCTACCAATAAGGAACTTTTCTCTCCTTCAAACACTAGCTCAAACCTAATGGCCTCTAAGAGATGTTTAATATTATTTCATCCTATTCTGGATTATAAAATAAAAGTGAAACCAAGACTGTTTCCTTGATTTTTTGGTTTAATCTCAGGTTCTCATGATGCTCAGTGCTCAGAATATGGTACTGTTCATAAATGTTATTGTTGTATTGACCAAGACCAATTTTTCTTTTGGAGGCTATCAAGGTGCACCTGGAAGATGAAAACAATATTTTTAGTTCTTTGGAAAAATTAATCTCTTCTATTGAGCAAATCTTTAGTTCAGTGCAGTCAAAGTTGCCTTTTTTAGCTCTTTTTTTCTAGAAGAAATGTAGGTCTTCCAGTGATACTTCATGATTTTCTTTACCGATTAGCATTAACATGGGTTGTTAGATGAAGGGAAGAGAGGACCAACCTCTAACCTCTAGGATTTCAGACTGCTAGACTCTCATCTTTGAGGTTTAGACTTCTGGACCAAGAGACTCAAATCCAAGAAAGGGATATGCATGTACTGACAGCCAATCTGGAAGCAGGTCTGTCTGAAGCAGGGAATTCATTTTATCTGCTGCTGTCAGTGTCTTAGGAGTTTTCTGTCATAAGTCTCCATTTTGGCAGAATTCTAACACTGATACAAAGACTATCTTTGCTGGGTTAAGATCCTGGCTCTATCACTTATTAGGATATGACTGTAGGCAAGTTATAAAACCTTTCTGTGGATGTTTCCTTGTCTGCACTGAGGACTGTAATAGTATTCTCTACTACATAATATAATGCATGCACATAATAAGCACTCAGTTTATCTTAGCTTACCAGGTGTTCTTTTTTAAGATTTATTTACTATTTGGGCTCCCCCAGTGGCTCAGTGGTAAAGAATCCAGCTGCAATTCAGGAGACGCAGGAGAATCGGAGAATTTGTTCCCTGGGTTGGGAAGATTCCCAGGAGGAGGGCATGGCAACCCACTCCAGTATTCTTTTTTTTTTTTTTCCATTTATTTTTATTAGTTGGAGGTTAATTACATTACAATATTGTAGTGGTTTTTGTCATACACTGACATGAATCATCCATGGATTTACATGTATTCCCCATCCTGATCCCCGCTCCCACCTCCCTCTCTACCCGATCCCTCTGGGTCTTCCCAGTGCACCAGGCCCGAGCACTTGTCTCATGCATCCAACCTCACTCCAGTATTCTTGTCATGAAAATCCCATGGACAAAGGAACCTGGAGGGCTGCGGGTTCACAGGGTAGCAAAGAGTTGGACATATACACACATTTACTCATTTATTTATTTTTGGCTGCACTGGGTCTTCGTTGCCGTGCAGGCTTTCTCTAGTTACAGCAAGCGGGGGCTACTCTTCGTTGAGGTGAACAGCCTTCTTACTGTGATGGCTTCTCTTGTGGAGCACGGGCTCTAGGGAATGCAGGCTTCAGTAGTTGTGGTGCTTGGCTTAGTTGCTCCGCAGCATGTGGGATCTTCCTGTACCAGGGATTGAACCCATGTCCCCAGCACTGGCAGGAAAATTCTTAACCACTGGACCACCAGGGAAGTCTCAGCTGACCAGATTTTGTCTTTCTTATTGCTGTGTCTCCAACCCCTAGCACATTGCCTAATACCTAGTCGTTCAATGGGCTTCCCTTGTAGCTCAGTTGGTAAAGAATCTGCCTGCAGTGCAGGAGACCTGCGTTCAATCCCTGGGTTTGGAAGATCCCCTGGAGAAGGAAATGGCAACCCACTCCAGTATCCTTGCCTGGAAAATCTCATGGACAGAGGAGCCTGGTGGGCTGCAGTCCATGGGGTCGCAAAGAGTCGGGCACAACTGAGCGACTACCACTTACTTACTTAGTCGTTCAATAAATACTAAACAATGTTGTAAACCCATTCTTTAATATTCTACCCACTTTTCCATTATATAGAAGGCAAACATACTCCTTATGTTCCAAACCCTCATTTTGGACTAACAACTCAAACAACTGAAGCTCTAATGTCCTTGAAATAATATGAAATAATATTTGATCAAGCAGGATGCTGCTGCTGCTGCTGCTGCTGCTGCTAAGTCGCTTCAGTCGTGTCCGACTCTTAGCAACCCCATGGACGGCAGCCCACCAGGCTTCTCTGTCCATGGGATTTTCCAGGCAAGAGTACTGGAGTGGGTTGCCATTGCCTTCTCCGATCAAGCAGGATATGACCCACCTAAGGTAGAATAAATAATTCTACTGCCAATAATAATTTTCTGGGAAGTTATTAAATTGTATCACCACTAAAAACTCAATCCTAGTATTTTGACAGTTTTTCCTCATTGTATTGGGAAAAACATTAGACTAGAAATCTGGTCTTTACTGATTATCAGAATGAATTTACTTGAATAATTCAAATAAGTTTTTCTCTTTTTCTTTTTTATTGAAGTATAGTTGATTTATAATGTTGTGCCAATCTCTGCTGTATAGCAAAGTGACTCAGTTTTACACATATAAACTTTTGTTGTTTAGTCGCTAAGTCATGTCTGACTCTTTTGCACCCCACATGGACTGTAGCCTGCCAGGCTCCTCTGTCCATGGGATTTCTCAGGCAAGAATTCTGGAGTGGGTTGCCATTTCCTTCTCCAGGGTATCTTCCTGACCCAGGGATCAAATCTACATCTCCTGCATTGCAGGTGGATTCTTTACCACTGAGCCACCTGGTAAGCCCTTATGCATATATACCTCTTTTTTTTTAAATATTCTTTTCCATTATGGTTTAACCCCAGGAGATTGGATGTAGTTCCCTGTGCTATACAGCAGGACTTTGTCGTTTATCCATTCTAAATGTAATAGTTTGCGTCTACCAACCCCAAATTCCCAGTCTATCCCTCTCCTTCTCTCTTCCCTTGGCAACCACAAGTCTGATCTCTATGTTTGTGAGTCTATTTTTGTGTTGTAGGTATGTTCATTTGAGCCATATTTTAGATTCCACATACAAGTGACATCATATGGCATACGTCTTTCTTTTTCTGACTTACTTCACTTAGTATGATAGTCTCTAGTTGCACTCATGTGGCCACAGATGGCATTATTTTGTTCTTTTTTAATGGCTGAATATTAGGTTTGTGTGAAAGTAATTGCAGTTGTGTGTTGTTGAACTTTGCTGTTTGACATTGGAATATATTCTTAAATAAATGTGGTTATGTTATACATCATTTTAATGCTCATTTCTTGCTTTGTGTTTTTTTCTTGCTAATGACTTATTACTTGCTGTTTATTTTATATTTATTTTAGACTAGGGAAATGATGTTAGACAGAAAAAGCAAATTAGAGCAATTTTCTTATTTGAGTTCAAAATGGGTTGTAAATCAATAGAGACAGCTCACAACATCAACAACATGTTTGGCCTAGGAACTGCTAATGAATGTACAGGGCAATGATAGTTCAAGAAATTTTGCAGAGGAGACGAGATGAGGTGAAGATGGGAAGTGTAGAAGCTGGCCATTGGAAGTTGACAGTGACCAACTGAGAGGATGCTGAAGCTGAAGCTCCAATACTTTGGCCGCTTGATGCAAAGAGCCGACTCATTGGGAAAGATCCTGATGCTGGGAAAGATTGAGGGAAGGAGAAGGGGGCAACGGAGGATGAGATGGTTGGATGGCTTCATCAAATCAATGGACATGAGTTTGAGCAAACTCTGGGACATAGTGAAGGACAGGGAAGCCTGGCCATGCTGCAGTTCATGGGGTCACAAAGGGTTGGACACAGCTAAGCAATTGAACAACAATTGAGAGAATCGTTGAAGCTGATCTTCATACAACTACATGAAAAGTTGCCAAAGAACTCAGTGTTGACCGTTCTATGGTCATTCGGCATTTGGAGCAAATTGGAAAGGTGAAAACCTCAATAAGTGGGTACCTCATGAACTTGGTACCTCATGAGCTGACTGAAAATCAAAAAAATCGTCATTTTGAAGTGTCATCTTCTCTTAGTCTGTGCAACAAGGAACCATTTCTCGATCAGATTGTGACATGTGATGAAAAGTGGATTTTATACGACAACCGGCAATGACTAGCTCAGTGGTTGGACCAAGAAGAAGCGCCAAAGCACTTCCCAAAGTCAAACTTGCATCATAAAAAAGTCATGGTCACTGTTTGGTGGCCTGCTGCCACAGCTTTCTGTATCCTGGTGAAACCATTACATCTGAGAAGTATGCTCAGTAAAAAAAACGAGATGCACTGAAAACTTCAACACATACAGCTGGCATTGGTCAACAGAAAGGGCTCAGTTATTCTCACAACAATGCCCGACCGCATATCACACAACCAACACTTCAAAAAATTAAACAAAAACTTAAGTTTTGCCTCATCCAGCATAATCACCTGACCTCTCACCAACCAACCACCACTTCTTCAAGCATCTTAACAACTTTTTGCAGGGAAAATGCATCCACAACCAGCAGGAAGAAGAAAATGCTTCCCAAGAGTTTGTCAAATCTCAAAGCACAGATTTTTATGCACAATGAGGTTTAAGTGATTTTCTCCAAGGTCATGGTGCTAGTAAGTGGCTGAACCAGGGTTCCAAGGAGCATTTTGTAAATATTTATTTATTTGGCTACTCTGGGTCTTATTTGCAGCATGCAGAATTTAGTTCCTCAATCAGGGATGGCCCAACCACGCCCCTTGCATTGTGCACATGGAGTCCTAGCCACCGGACCACCAGGGAAGTCCCAGGGAGCCTTTTGGAATGGTGCTGACAGTGTGTGGGCACTGCCCTGAACTTCCACAATAACTGTCTGCTTTCATCCCCACAGCACCTCTAGGAAGTTGATATGGTTGTTGAAGCACTTGTCCAAGGTAGGGCCGCTGGAAATGAAAGTCTGATTATCTGAGCTCAGAGTCTCAGGCCACTAAACACCTGGTTACAGATGAGGACACCAGGGCTGCAAGGGTTGGTGGTGATGTGAAGTGAAGTGAAAGTCACTCAATCATGTCCGACTCTTTGTGACCCCATGGACTATACAGTCCATGGAATTCTCCAGGCCAGAATACTGGAGTGGGTAGCCGTTCTCTTCTCCAGGGGATCTTTCCGACTCAGGGATCAAACCCGGGTCTCATGCATTGCAGGCAGAGTCTTTACCATCTGAGCCACCAGGAAAGTCCCTGTACAATAACACAAATCAGGCAAAATAGACATATATCCCCTCCATCTTGAGCCTCCCTCTCCCCCACCCATCCCACTCCTATAGGTCATCACAGAGTGCCAGGCTGGACTCCCTGTGTTGTACAACACCTTCTCACTAGCCATCCATTTTACATATGTTAGTATTTGTAGACTTTTTAATGACAGCCATTCTGACAGTGTGAGGTGGTACCTCATTGTAGTTTTGATTTTCATTTCTCCAATAATTATTGATGTTGAGAATCTTTTTGTGTGCCTACTGGCCATCTGTTTGTCTTCTTTGAATAATTCAAGTAAATTTTTAGATCTCATTTTTCTCATCTATAAAATGAGGTGAGCTATACAAGATGATATCTAAATTCTAGCTTCTAACCTTAAAATTTTGTGTTTCTATGACTAACTCAGTATTAATGATATGCATTTATTTAGGAGAGGAACCTGAAATTCTCAGAAGACATAGCTTATTTGATGACAACATATTGCTGAGTTCCAGTGGTCTTTTACTTGAACATAGTTCTGAAAGCCCCATTGGAGAAAAATCTCTGTTCTGTGGCAGTGGAGATGGATTTGGAGATGAAGGAGCTGCAGGAGAAATGATTGGTATGCTCTCTGGTCATACAGAAACTGGATATTTGTTTCAGTCAAATTACTATAACAAACTGCAAGATTTATTCCAACAAACAGAAATTTCAGATATGCTTCTGTGTCATATAGATTAAAATATTTTTTACATAAGTTTTCAAAGTCTATAGTATATTTAAACATTTAGGCTAGATCTAAGTAAATAGCCATCTTTGACACATTTATTATATAGGTGGTGAAATACATTTATCATAAAGGTTCTTGTTTTTCTTTCTACAAATTTCTAGTTTCTAGAGAGAAAGAAGTGAGGTTAGTATACTCCTCACAAAATATACTAGATCGTATGCTAGAAACATTGTTTTCTTTAGCAAAAATTGTGGGACGGCTAGTCTAAAGGATCTGTCTAGCATTTTATATTATTATTTTATTATGATCTTACTGTAAAGTAATCATAGAAATAGGATAGACAAAACTGGGAAGTCTAAATGCACCTAATTATAATGATACTGACCTTTATATATCACATCTTTTTTAAATTATCTAATTTACAATAAAAGGTTGGTTATGGCAAACTTAATGAAATTTGAAAACTATGAAAAATAGTGGCTCTACCTTAGATCTCTACTAAAGGACTTTGAGAACTTTTATTTCTTGATTTGAAGTCTAAACATGGCTTTGTAACAAAGGCTACTATCTTGGTAGTTTGGTAAATATTTTCTGACATTAAACACTTAAAAATACATGTTTAATAAAGGAAAGGAAATTAAATATATAAAATTTTATGTCCTACTGCATGAAATATGGTAGTCTAGGTTGTTGTTTAATCGCTCAGTCATGTCTGACTCTTTTGTGACCCCATGGACTATAGCCCACCAGGCTCCTCTGTCCATGGGATTTCCCGGGCAAGAATACTGGAGTTGGTTAACATTTCCCTCTCCAAGGGAGCTTCCCAACCCAGGGATCAAACCCACATCTCCTGTATTGGCAGGTGGGTTCTTTACCATTTGAGCCACCAGGGAAGCCCCATGGTAGTCCATGTAACCAATCAAATCTAATTAGGTAGAGTTCACTCTTTTTTATATCCCTTGACAACTCATTGCATACTAAGCTATCAAGTGTTTAGTGAACAAATGACAGATTCAGCTCTGTATAAGAAAAGTGTTTATTTTGTTTTCAAGACAATCTACTGCAAGATGATCAGAATATCCTGTCAGAAGAAATGCATTTAAATATAGAAATTTCCCTGCTTCCTGAGCCTCCTAATACTGTAGTGGGTATGTAGGAATTTTCTTTTGTGTGGAAAGTGAACAGATATTAATATTCAAATTAAGCCTCAAAACTTCTAGGTTTAAGTAGAAATATAATATAGTGAAAGATATTAAAGAGAGTTGTCCCTCAAACTCTTAGCATGACTTCGACAATAGAGCATAGAAAATTTTGAGAAAAGTTTTGAGAAAAGTACGATGGGTGTTTACTCAGGATTGGGTTTATTTGTTATGAGAGCATATTTAAATACTCTGGCAAAATATCCTGCTTTTGAATAATTAAAATAATATGTTACATAGTAAAAAGCATCATTAATGTTTGACATTAACATTGTTATTAACATTAATACCACATTAATATTAACATGGCTTGATGATCTACATACAGTGTTATAGAAATCACAAATATGGGGATATTTTCTACTTGAAATTGATTGTGAAAGTACTTCAGATGATTTGAAGTCTTTGTAGTCTGATTTTTCTTAAGAAATAAAAAAATGATTAGCCTCATTTTGATTTTTGACTTTTGCATGTTGCATTTGCTTTCTAACACGGTAGTATAAATTTAAAATAAAAAGAGATGGGCAATAAAAATTTAGTTATGTACAATTCTTTTGGGTCAAATAATCATTAACAGAATACAATTTTTAGCAGACATATTGTCAAATTTATGTCAGTCATTTATTGTGGTTCCTACCACTGTTTTTACTTCTGCCATGACTGTAGCCTAGCCTTAGATGTCACAGGCGCAAAAATGGGTGATTAATATTTGACCCACCTGGACACTGTGGGTCCCAGACTATATAATCTCTGAACCTCTTCAACTCTATTAAATACATGATTCTAAAAATGCATTTGTGGCTCCAGTTAGCAATATAAATCTACAGTTAATTTTTCACTTTAATTCTCATATAGTCTTCTAGTTTGCAACATAATCATTATTTTTTTTAATAAATCCTTTTATGGCAATGTTGATGAGTAGAATCAGATAATCCAAAGTGTGTGTGTTCACCTGAAAATGAAAAAATGGATGAAACTACAGTAACAAAAGAAGAGGAAGACTTTACCCTTGACCCAATTGATACTTCAGGTCAGAATCATTTATGTTTTTATTGTTAGCTTTGAGGCACTACTATCTTATTTACCCTGAGATATTTTGATAATTCTTAAAATATTGTAAGAGGTAGTCAATCTAGTAATAACATTTATAATACAATAAGGGAAGAATGTGAAGAAAGTTCGAGATGATAATTTTATTATACCCAGTCCTGATCAAATCGTCTATCCAGTTTGGGAAACTGGAAAATTTAAACCTGAGTTCAGTTCTAGTAGTTATTGAGCCATTTATTCTGAGCACAGAAATGAAGACGACATAGTTTCTGCTTTTAAGAAGCTTAAAATTTGATTGGGAAGATAAACATGCAAATGAATGTTTGCATATTTAAAATAAGACAGAGTAAAAGGATCCATATAAAGGCACTGGATATGAATCGAATATATCCCTAGATCTTTTAAGCATATCCTAGTTTCAAGTATTATCTTTGATATGAATTTCAGTTTATAAATTCAGGCATGCAAAGAATAAAGCATTCAACTTTTTCTTACAGAATTCAATTCTGAGCCTCTATTCCACTTGGTTGGCAAGAAATTCAATCTGCATAGCTCCCCTATCTGCCCTGAACCATGTAGTATCAAGTTTGAAGGATGGGTACAGTAGGTGGAAGGGAACCTCTGGTCATCAGCCATACCACCTAGTGATACCCAGTGTCCCAGCCTGCATAGTCTCTGTGGTCATCACACAGCCAGCCTCTTTGGAATCTTGTCATATTCCTAGGATTTTACTGAGACACATCAGCAAGCAGGTTCCTTCTGGCTCCATCTGATCTCAGAATTCCACCCTGTCCAAGAAATCTAACCATCTCCCAACTGTTGCATCTTTACTAAGGAAAAGCTTGACTTCTACTTTTTACCTGGCAAAATTAGTTAAAGGAGCAAATCCCATGACCCTATCTATCTACTTGGAATTTACATATGAATTTCAGTGGGAAAGGGGAAAATGCACTGGACAGACACAAATTAATGTTTCAAAAATTTATCCTAAAAAATAAAGAAATAAATCAATATTTAATCTATCAGTAATTTTTTTAAAAGTTATCCTGTTAGTTATTTTAAGGAACTTCAAAACTGAGTGACTTCCCTCTCAATGTACTCCCTGCTCCACAGTTTTCAGTTCTTCACTTAGGTCAACTGCCTCCCAAGCAGTTTACAAAATGTGTTAACCCTTGGTTGCTGAAACACACTAGCTGTGCAAAAACCTTAAAAGGATAATTTTCAGTAGAAAGAAAGGGATTTTTCTTAAGGCAACTCTGTAGGGTGTATGGTGTTAGACATTTCTGAGATATGCAGTGCCTAGAATATAATTTTACAGAGCTGTACAACCTATCACATTTGTATGTATTTCTTATATTTAGATATTGCTGAAAAAAGAAAAGGCAAAAACAGGAAATTGCTCATAGATCCAGTCAAGGAGATCAGTAGCAAAATTATGCATAGGCAGCTTACTTCCTTTACGGACACACTCATGGTTTTGGAACTTGCACCTCCTACCCAAAGATTGATGATGTGGAAGCAAAAGGGAGGAGCAGATACTCTTCTGTCAACTGCTGCCCAGGATTTGACTCATGCTAAACTGAAAATGGTAACAGTTTCCATACTTTTACATGGGTGAAATGTTTGGTGATAAATAAATACATATTTATATTCATATATGCAACAGAATTTAAACCCGTGAAAAAATATCCCCTTACTTTTGAATTAATTTGCTCAATGTATGTACATGAATTATAGTTTTTACTTTTTAGCATATGTGCTTATATTTTGTTGAATTGCTTTGCTTGTACAAAAAATGAGAAAAAGTGTATATTTTTACAGTTGTTTACAAAATGCTTTGTGTCCTCTGGCTTTAAACTTGGAAGAAAATTGATACAGAAGGAGTCAGTAAGGGAAGAAATGAGAAGTGAAAATATAGTAGGTGAGACATCCTAATTCTGTTGGTGTTGAAGGGAATGTTGTAGAAACAAAAATTTGATTTTACACTTCAAAATAATGATGGGATCTAATTCCATATTCCCAAATGTAAATGCTCTTAGAATACTTAAACTTAAAAGAAATTGTTAAATCAGCATTGCATTTTTCTATGTGCAAATTAATTTTTGTCCAACAAACCACCTTAAAAAGATGAAGTATGTATACTTTGTGGGCTATTCTTAATCTCACTCTTTCCTACCTCCCCTACCCTCAAAGCTAGTACTCACAAGCCTTTGATAAAGAAATGTTTTATATCTAGCAGGATAATATATCACTTTAAGACAACTAACCTGAGAAATCACAATACTGTTAACCTAAGACAGAGATATTTCTATCCCCCAGAAAAGACATGAGATATTAATAATTATTATTGTGACTACTATAAAGGAATAATAAAACCAACTTATTATTGTGGTGAGTGAACTCCTGCTTCCTGAAGGCATTAAAATCTGCTGAACAATATACCAAGATGGGCTTAAACTATCCATGTTGTCTTGAGAGTTGAATGTGTGGGAGCGAGTGTGGAGGAGATAGTTGGTGGAACATGTAGTAGAGGTGATAAAGAGGCAAATGAGGGGAAAGGTAAAATAAATATGTGAGACATGGGGTGCTATAAGAAAGCTTGTGCATCCTTAAATTCGTGGATTCTAAGTTGTCTGTCAAAACTTTTCTTTTGTAAAAACCATATTCCAGTTTTAAGTTTGAAAGATACTTTGGTGAAATCTTTTTTACTTCCTTAACAATTCAGAGACCTCCACGATGGAAGAGCCAAATTTCCTGCAAGAGTTAAGTCAACCTAAAACTTGGAAGGAAGTCACTGATGGATCAAAATGTAGTTCTCATGAAGATACCAATAAAGACATTAACTCTGATGTAAGTTAATCAAAGAGAATCATAAAAATATTATCTTCCTGACATTTACTGTGAAAGAAAATTGAGACTCTGGTTTATCTTCTTACATTTATAGTTTATATTTCATCTTATGTTACTCTATATCTTCTTTAGCATGCAGCAGTACTGCAGGATAATACATAATTTCCATCCAAAACAGTTTTTCTAGAAGTTTAAGATATTATAGTAAATCACAAGATAAGTAGTTTCATACTGAAATAGTATTTTGCATGGTACACTGAATAAATTATTATACCTGAACCTGGTCATATGCTGAGGCTTCACATTCAATATATCAAGGAATCCTTAAAAACTCTAGACAATACACCTATTAAAAAGAAATATGCCCATGTTTTCCTTCTATTCATAAATTCACCCTTCCTACCTCTATGAATAATATGTGTTAGATCCACCAATTACCTCGGTCTTGAATCTGAAGTGAAAGTGAAAGTCACTCAGTCATGTCCGACTCTTTGCGTCCCCATGGACTATATAGTCCATGGAATTCTCCAGGTCAGAATACTAGAGTGGGTAGCCATTCCCTTCTCCAGGGGATCTTCCCAACCCAGGGACCGAACCCAACTCTCCCGCATTGCAGGCAGATTCTTTACCAGCTGAGCCACCAGGGAAGTCTAAGAAGACTGGAGTGGATAGTCTATCCCTTCTCCATGGGATCTTCCTGACCCAAGATTCAAACCGGGGTCTCTTGCATTGCAGGCGGATTCTTAGCCAGCTGAGCTACCAGGGAAGCCCAGTCTTGAATCTGAAAGAATATCTAAAGATCCATTACCAATAAAATTATTTTTAATTTCTATTTGAAAAACATATTTATTAAAAATATAGTTGGAAATGATGTGCTTTCCAATATTTTCCCAATGTTACTTTCAGTTCAGTTTAGTCACTCAGTCATGTCCAACTCTCTCTGACCCCATGGACTGCAGCATACCAGGTTTCTCTGTCCATCACCAACTCCCAGAGTTTGCTCAAACTCATGTCCATTGAGTCGGTGATGCCGTCCAACCATCTCCTCGTCCGTCGTCCCCTTCTGCTCCTGCCCTCAATCTTTCCCAGCACCAGGGTCTTTTCCAAGGAGTCAGTTTTTCACATCAGGTGGCCAAAGTATTGGAGTTTCAGCTTTATCATCAGTCTTTCCAATGAATATTCAGGATTGAGGATTGACTGTTGGATCTCCTTGCAGTCCAAGGGACCCTCAAGAGTTTTCTCCAACACCACAGCTCAAAAGCATCAGTTCTTCAGTGCTCAGCTTTCTTCATAGTCCAACTCTCACATCTATACATGACTACTGGAAAAACCATAGCGTTAACTAAACAGACATTTGTTGGCAAAGTAATGTCTCTGCTTGTTAATATGCTGTCTAGGTTGGTCATAGCTTTTCTTCCAAGGAGCAAGTGTCTTTTAATTTCATGGCTGAAGTCACCATCTGCAGTGATTTTGGAATCCAAGAAAATAGTCTCTCACTGTTTCCACTGTTTCCCCTTCTATTTGCCATGAAGTCATAGGACCAGATGCCATGATCTTTGTTTTTTGAATGTTGAGTTTTAAGCAAGCTTTTTCACTCTCTTTCACTTTCATCAAGAGTCTCTTTATTTCATCTTTGCTTTCTGCCATAAGGGTGGCATCACCTGCGTATGTGAGGTTATTGATATTTCTCCCAGCAACCTTGATTCCTGTTTGTGCATCATCCAGCCCAGCATTTTGCATGATGCATAGCCTGATGCAAGTCTGGTGGGCTGCCGTCTATGGGGTCACAGAGTAGGACATGACTGAAGTGACTTAACAGCATAGAAGTTAAATAAGCAGGGTGACAATATACAGCCTTGATGTACACATTTCCTAGTTTGGAACCAGTCTGTTGTTCCATGTCCCATTCTAACTGTTGCTTCTTGACCTGCATACAGATTTTTCAGGAGGCAGGTGAGATGGTCTGGTATTCCTATCTCTTGAAGAATTTTCTACAGTTTGTTGTGATCTACACAGTCAAAGGCTTTGGCGCAGTCAATAAAGCATATTTTTTTCTGATATTTTCTGGCTTTTTCTATGATCCAACAGATGTTGGCAATTTGATCTCTGGTTGCTCTGCCTTTTCTAAATCCAGTTTGAACATCTGGAAGTTCATGGTTCACATACTGTTGAAGCCTGGCTTGGAGAATTTTGAGCATTACTTTGCTAGCGTGTGAGATGAGTGCAGTTGTGCAGTAGTTTGAACACTCTTTCTTCCTTTACCTGAATTTATGCTTTAGCCTTCAATTCCTTTCTTATTCTACTTTCAGAAATGGTGAACAGATAAGAAATATAGTCAGGAATGGGATCACAGTTAATTTGAATACACAGAAAAATGTTGATTCTGATTAATCATTTTCAAATCTTTCAAAAATTCAAGCAATATTTATGTAGATTAACTGCATAATAGAAACTGTCTAAAATGTGGAATATTCACAGAAATTAAAAGGGAAAACATGATAGGGCTCCGCAAACATGTATATTAAAGAATCAAATGCACCCCGTTATACTCATGCAACTGAACTGAACTGGACTGATACTCATGCAAAATTTTTAAAGCTAAAGTGAAAAGTCAAGTAAGCTATATTGTAGGAAGCTTCTAACTTAATCACAATCATAGATGACAGCTGGGGAATGAAGCTTGGAGATAGGTTGAAGATGAAAAGGGGGCCAACAGCTTCTATAGCAGTGAGGAAGAAGCAGTGGGGAATGGAGAATTTCTCTTCTTCCACTTCCCTTCCAGCAGACACAGTTTTTCTTCCCTCTTGCCATTGGCAGCTCCAGCGGCACTGACAGGAATCCTGTCATACCCCTAGAAAGGGATATTAACAGTGCTTCTCCCATTCTCGTTCCTCTGCTTACAGTTCTTCCTCTGCTACCTGGTTCTGGCATGAAAATAAAGGTAGGGGACTAGGGCAAGGACAGACTGCTTCAAAAGAAATGGTCTCAGATGCACAGCAGCAGAGACTTTTGATATGAGGTTTGTGGTAGTGACAGAAATAGAAGGAAAAAGATATTGGAAGAACAAGAATATAAGATATAATATAGGATATAGGAATAAGATATAGGAGGAAAAAAGCAAGGAGGGCAGAACATGCAAGTTCTTCATGTGTGGGAGGCATAAAGAAAACAAGAATATTTAAGTCTGGGATATTTCAGAAATGATATTTTGAGAATGCAGATAGTATTTTAAATTAGTTTTAGAAATGAGCATCCATGTGATTAAATCATTTAACAAAATGAGATTGTTTCTGTGATGACTACTACTACTGTGATGACTTACCTATATTTCCCTAATTTGCTTTAGGAGGATATTGTTGAAATGGTGTCTTCAGCTGCTGAGGAATCATCTTCAATGAATGCCATCTTGGCACAGGAAATTGAAAATTGTCCAATGGAATTGGTAAATAGATGTATAGTCTTGAGAATGTTCTTTAAAACTTTGTTCCTAAATAGTTAACACCTTATTTACCCCAAAATTATTTTTAGCTGTCATGTTACTTTCTAAAATTACAGTTTAATTTGTGATCTTAACAAAGATGTGTATGGTTAGCTTGACAGAGCATATGTAAAGTTGCTTTGATCTTTTATTCTTTCTTTGATTTATTTTGAAATTTTAAGTAATGTTTTTAAAGGTATGAGATTTTTATGCTTATCAAATATAGTCCTGGTTAAAATGTTGAGTCATTTTTTAAGTTATTCTTAAAACATCTCTAAAGAAACAGAGCTGTATCAGGGGTATGCCTTAAGACATTTGAAATTTCATTTTTCAAATGAAAAAAATGTTCTGACTTCTAGAGATCAGAAAAAGGGAATGGTCTTTACTGACCATTTCCCATTCCTGACTGTATTTCTTATCTGTTCACCATTTGTGGAAATAGAATAAGAATGGAATTGAAGATTAAAGCATAAACTTCAGGTAAAGGAATAAAAGGTTCAAAGGGGATGGTCTGTACAGAGGACCACAAGTCAATAGCAAAGCCCGAGCTAATATCTGACTCACCTGACTCCACAGAGATTACTGTCTCCTTTCTATAATTGCTGTCCCACAGTGCTGAAGGCATTTTTAAGATTATAATAAATTTTGACAGAAAGTTTCTTGCACCTACTAATGCCTAGTGTTAGTTTGTTTCCAGATAAATTATCTTTATAATGAGTTCCAAGTCTATTAAATTGGGTTTTTTTCATATGACTGAATTCTCTGGATAATCTAGGACAGAATAAATACCCGAAATTTTTACCTGAAACGTCCAAACAGCTGAACCAGAAGAGAGCTGAGTCACTTTCACCTTTCTCTTTGCTTCTAGACACTGGATATTTTCACATTTGGTCAAGAAAACCATAAGACAGCACAAGTTCAACTGTTTTAATAGTCAACTAGGCTTTCCACACAATGGACTCAGCTGTAGGATATCCAGATAGATCAAGTAGACAGGCTTCAGCAAAGTGCACAGATGACTTTTTCTGAGGTTTTCCTGGTTAGTTTAGTTGTGCAATATAGGTGAAGCTGCAGTCTCATCGGTCTTTAACAAGGAGTTGGGCCATTACTTTTCACATTTGAAATATAGCTTTTGTGTATTTAACAATAAAATAAAACGTTAGTAATTGGGTGAACTAATTTATCCCAGAATCAACCAGTAGGGAATAAACTTAAATTTTACCTAGAAGAATTTAGAAAACTCTTCAGAATAATATTGACCATATTTTCAGATCAGTCTCTTTGAAATGTAAGAAAGGATGCTGTATAGGCAGAACCAGGAAGCCAGTGCAGCTGGCAGGATTGGGGACTTGGCAGTCCCTTTAGCCTTAGATGATTTAAAATATCATATAGGATATTCTGAAGCTTTCTGAAGTCATCTTGGAGTCGATGAAATTGAAAGCACTGTTAGGAAGTGTCTGGGCTCCAGAGGTATACATGAAAGCTTGGCAAACAGTGGAGCTGTGATAAGGGTAACACAGAAGCTGTTAGGTTGCATGATAACAGAGATAACATAGGAAAAATTATAAAGTATTAATAGGTCAAATCTGTGCCACTTGCCCATGCCCACCCACCCCCAGACCCTCTGTAGGCATGCTTTTTTATCAGACTTATCAGCACCTTTCTATGCTCAGTTCTGTTCTCAGTTTATAAGTTGTTAGTTGGTAAGGAAACTTAGAGTGAGTTCCTGTGAAGGGATTTCAAGTCTACGGTTTTTAAATATTACAGTCTTTCTGCAAGTGACTAAAAACTGAAAAGAAGATTGAAAAGTTGGATCTATTCACATAACCTGAAAGGCAATGTGTTGATCTTTTTTGGACAAGGCACCCTTGAAATTTGAAAGGTTCCTAACCCAATTGGACACAACTCACTAAACATCAGTTATTGTTAGAACCTTTATATCACCAGATAAATTCAAATAAATATCTTTACAGTGCAGTTCTTCTCTAGCTTTATGTTTACTCCTGTCATCTGAGTTCAGATTGACCAGATCTGAGACAGTCCTAGCCAAAAGTGGTCATCTTTACTTTTAAAAGTAAGGGCACAATGCCTGGGATGCATCACCAATACAGATGCAGAATCTCCTACTCTCGCCCCTTGTCAGAAGATAGCCTGGGAGCATAGATATCAGGATATAAAAACTGAGCTGTATCTGTTTGTTAGTTTTATTCTCTCAACTGCAGATGATAACCTCCTTATTTGGCAGGACCCCGTGTTAATAGTTGTGTGTCTTGTATTTCTTTCTACACTATGGTTGGCAGATAGTAAACATTCAGTAAATTTTGATTAAAGGAAATATTTTGTCAATTATTCAAACAGGAATCATGGGGGACTGAACAAAGCATTGAAGCAGAAAGATGGAATTTAAGAATACTTCAGATGTTACATAGTTTGCAGGTAAGACTTGATAGGGTTTATCAACACTGTTTTTAGTTTTAAAAATAAATAAAAAGTTGAGTTCAATCCTCTAGATATTAATAAAAATAAAACTATTTTCACTGTGTTCTTGTTGAGGACAAATTATAGTGAAATTTTTTATAAGCTGTATCAGTCAGTTCATTCCAGTTCAGTTGCTCAGTCGTGTCCAACTCTTTGCAACCCCATGAATCGCAGCACACCAGGCCTCCCTGTCCATCACCAACTCCCAGAGTCTACCCAAACCCATGTCCATCGAGTAGGTGATGCCATCCAGCCATCTCATCCTCTGTCATCCCCTTCTCCTTTTCTGCCCCCTATCCTTCCCAGCATTAGGGTCTTTTCCGATGAGTCATCTCTTCACATGAAGTGACCAAAGTATTGGAGTTTCAGCTTCAACATCAGTCCTTCCAATGAACACCCAGGACTGCTCTCCTTTAGGATGGACTGGTTGGATCTTCTTGCAGTCCAAGAGACTCTCAAGAGTCTTCTCCAACACCACAGTTCAAAAGCATCAATTTTTCGGCACTCAGCTTTCTTTATAGCCCAACTCTCACATCCACACATGACTACTGGAAAAACCATAGCCTTGACTAGACAGACCTTTGTTGGCAAAGTAATGTCTCTGCTTTTTAATATGCTGTCTAGGCTGGTCACAGCTTTTCTTCCAAGGAGCAAGCGTCTTTTAATTTCATGGCTGCAGTCACCATCTGCAGTGATTTTGGAGCNGCTGGCATATTGAGTGCAGCACTTTCACAACATCATCTTTTAGGATTTGAAATAATTCAACTTGTCTACGGCCATACCACCCTGAACGCGCCTGATCTCGTCTGAAATAGCTCAACTGGTATTCCATCACCTCCACTGGCTTTGTTCTTAGTGATGCTTCCTAAGACCCACTTAACTTTGCATTCCAGGATGTCTGGCTAGAGCCAGACATCATGATCACACCATCATGATTATCTGGGTCGGGAAGATCTTTTTTGTATAGTTCTTCTGTGTATTCTTGCCACCTCTTCTTAATATCGTCTGCTTCTGTTAGGTCCATACCATTTCTGTCCTTTATTGAGCCCATCTTTGCAGGAAGTGTTCCCTTGGTATCTCTAATTTTCTTGAAGAGATCTCTAGTCTTTCCCATTCTATTGTTTTCCTCTATTTCTTTGCACTGATTACTGAGGAAGCTTTCCTATCTCTCCTTGCTGTTCTTTGGAACTCTGCATTCAAATGGGTGTATCTTTCCTTTTCTCCTTTGCCTTTCGCTTCTGTTCTTTTCACAGCTCTTTGTAAGGCCTCCTCAGACAACCATTTTGCCTTTTTGCATTTCTTTTTCTCGGGGATGGTCTTGATTCCTGACCCCCATACAATGTCATGAACCTCCATCCATAGTTCTTTATTGCTCTCTAGAAGATTTCTTCAGCTTTATCCTCATCTTTATTGAATTTTTTTGTTTTCCAGGAGTTTTTTTTCTCGGTTTTTAATTATTTTGTTTGATTAATTATTTTATTTTTAAATTATTTTATTTTATAGCATATGAACAGCTACCCACTCCAGTATTCTGGCTTGGAGAATTCCATGGACTGTATAGTCCATGGGGTCACAAAGAGTCGAACACTACTGAGTGACTTTCACAATCTATTTATTTATATTTAATAGTTTTATTGAAGTATGATTAACATAACAATAAACCACACCTATTTAAAAATATACAGTTAGATAAATTTTGATGTATGTGTATACCAATGGAAACTCACCACAGTCAAGATAGTGAACATATCTATAATCTCCAGAAGTTTCCTTGTGTCTCTTGATAATCCCTTGTTTCACCTTCCCCACTGGTCCCCCTCCCCCAGACCCCAGCAACCACTGATCTGTTTTCTCTCAATAGCATCCTAATCATTTTTTGTGGATGGTATCTTCTCTTAATTTTCAGAGGTTATAGCTTTCTTCTACTGCCCACGTTGTCTGTTTCCTTAGTGTTTCTCTTAGATATTAGAAATTTTATCCAAGTGTTTAATAGATCTTTGGTTTTTATTTAAGAATGAGACAACAAAAAGCTGATTGGAGGTTATATAAGCATGAGTGGGGCTTATAGCCTTGTTGTCTTCATAGCACGATAATTTTGGGTGTCCTCACCCCTGCCAATACATACGCACACAGATGTCATTATCTATAGAATTTTTTTTTTCCTTGGAATGGTCTATTTTTTCATGGTCAGATCTACTGTCTAGAAGATATAAGCATGACATCCATGGTTGAGGAATCAAAAGAGTGTAAGGGAAAAGCTGGCAGTCTCACTGTTTAGACATTAGAATTTCTCTTAATCCCCCAGTTTGTAACACTTCTCCTCCACTATCCACAGTGCCTCATATCCCAAGTCTAAAACCTGATGGTTGGTATCTCCAGAAAGACAACTAATGGTCTCCTGGCTCTGTGAGGTGGTGGAGTAAACCTGAGGGTCTAATTGTTTCCAAGTAGCCTTTTAAGGAATTCTCATGTTTTTAACTTCACACTTCGTTTCTAGCTTATGACATACTGCTGCCTATAATCACTGAGTTTTTCCTAGGTTTTGTTTCATTTAGGGATTTTGTTTCTGTTTTATTCAAATGTGTTTGTTGGGATGGTTTCCCACTCATCTTGATTTTGGATTCTTTGGTGTTACTTCTGTCTGAAGCAGCATCCTTCAGTAAGCCTTGATTTTATTCCTGTAGGGTGGCAAGGACAAGGAGCAGCCAACACACAGAACTATTAGTGTTTGTGCACGGCTAGAGCCGGTGGTGATTTTATAGTATCCTGGGCATTTCACATCCATAGAGTAGGAATTGGGGCTCTGGACCAAGTGCTTCTTCTCGTGTTTCCTCTTCTCCTCTTTCGGACAAGGATGAAGGAGATCCTTTGCAAGAGGCATGTTCTCATGGGAAGGTTTTCACTGGTGGAAATGCTTTTTTCCCACAGTTTTCATGTTTTATTGTACTTACACTCAAATTTCACCATTAAATACTGAGCATAAGTAAATGCTGGCCTTACGTCCAGATGTTTGAAATGTAAAGATAAATAGATGACTGGCTTTAACAATGTGATATAATAGACACTGTAAAATATATTAAAAAATTAGAGAAGCTAGAGGGAAAGTAAAGTTCTGTCTATATACATTTACACATTTAGTGGCACAAATAAACTCTATAGGGAGAGGAAGACAGATGTGAAGCTTTGAGTTGCAGTTGGAGGAAAAACCCATTTGGGAATGAACTGAGAGGTCCTTGGTTGCTGACAGAATCTCCCCTGACTTCAGACTTTAGACAAACTAGTGAGTTTTTTGATTGGCATACAAAAACCACTGAATTGTGTAAAATCCCTATTAGTCATGAGAAATGGAAGGAGCAAGATTGATTAAGGAATTGGCACATGCCAATTTGGGTCATAGGGTCTGGCCAGTCAGAAGTAAGCAGGGCTGGCTCGAGGCTGAAAATCCATTGGATGTTGCAGTTCACTAATCTCAGTCTAGAGGTTACTACATTCCTCAAAAATTCTTGTTCTCCAAGTAAGTTCCTAAAATGCTTTCCATAAGCAAGGTTTAGGTTCTGTATCTGTGTCTTTTGCTGGCTATCCTCTCTACTGGCATTTAGGTTTCAGCTTTCTCTACATCTGATAAGTCTTCTACTTTGTATTTCTCTTCTTCCTTTATTTCTTTACCTTCATTTTAGAGGAGATCCTGGAGGAAACAGAATAATCCTCTCAGGGTGTTTTTCAAAAGGATTCTTGAAATTTACAAGGCTGTCCCTGCTCTCTCCCTGGGGAAAACCAACCAATCCACATCTTGTCTCCTCCAAAGAGAGGGAATAAATGAAGGCTTGGCATTGCCATCTCAAAGGCTGCTGACACTGTGCTACTCCTTTGGTTGAGATTAAAGTATGATAAAATATTTAACTTGTCAATTTGTTAAAAGTTAGTGTTGGTTGCTCACTTGTGTCCAACTTTTTGTGACCCCATGTACTGTAGCCCACCAGGCTCCTCTCTCCATTAAATTCTCCAGGGAAGAATACTGGAGTGGGTAGAGTCATTCCCTTCTCCAGGGGATCTTCCGAAGCCAAGAACTGAACCAGTGTCTCATCCATTATAGGCAGATTCCTTACCATCTGAGCCAGTTAAATGTTATGGACTGTCAAAAAAATTTTTTTAAAAAGACCCTTTTATATGGTCTTTAAAAAAAAAAAAGCTTCACAGCTACCAAATTAGTACAATAGTCACAGGGATACTGGTCAGTATTCACCATAGTATTTCTAACTAAAACATAATACTCCTACTCTAGAAATCTGATTCCAAGTGCAGTCTAATTAAATATTTTATTGTACCTCAGTTTTTCAAGTGAACCAATGTAGTGAACCAATGTCTTTTTAATCTGTGCAAAGAAACTGGGAGATGTTTATTTAGTCATATTCCCCTACCATTACATTTACCACTAGAGTTGTTTAATTAACCCCACACTGCAGTACCTATAAAATAATCCTGATGGGCTGATAATCGTTATTTTTTAAGATTCCCAAGGTCCTGTGGACTTTTTTCTGCCTGCAAGTCTCAATTAATTGCACTTTCCGCAGGAGTCATTTATGTTAACATCAATAGACCTAACATCTGTATAACACATTAGAAATTTGTGTAACACTTTAGAGTTCTTTTGCGTTTATTTTCTCAATGAACCAAGCTGTGCTCAACGACCTGTTTTTTTATATTCTAATGAATCATTTGCATTTCTCCATTTAAGAATTTCAGTCACTTATCAAAAATACCAATATTTGTTGTTCATTATACATCCACAGCCTGCTTTGTTTCTAATGATCTTATTTCCCTTTCCTCTTTTATAATTGTTTTCCCAGGAATCCAACAAGATGGGAATGCAGTACTTTAGTCTGATGAAGCTCTGCAGAAATAGTGACCGAAAACAAACTGCTGCCAAATTTTATAGCTTTCTTGTCCTAAAAAAACAGCAGGCTATTGAGCTGAGCCAGAGTGCTCCCTATGCAGATATTATAGCTACAGTGGGACCAATGTTCCATAAAATGTGAAGGAAATCCAGAACATGCAGATTTATGTCATCATTGGAATTTCTGTATAGATTGTTCAGTTTAATGCAAAAGCCGTCTGGAAGCAGCTGAAGGTCTGATCCATTTTGTAGATAGGTTGAGCTCATATTTCCTCTTTGTAAGTTCAGAATAATCATAGACATAATTAGAAACCTATATGCTTCCAGATATAATTGTAGCTAAGTAATATTTTTAACTTAGTTGACTTGAATGCATATCATTTACCATTTCCTTGACTTGAATGTTGCATTTAGGATACACTTTAAAAATACTTTGTGTCTTCAAGGATTTTTATAAAGTGGATTATTTACTTAAATTTTATAATTTAATAATTATTAATTATTAATAAATATTAGTAACTAATAATTAAGACTTTCTTATTTCACCACAGATAATAATTTATTTGATTATAACACATATCACTCTTGATTTGATATAATGCCCTGGCTTTTAATCTAATATCTTAATCAGAGTTATAAAATTTTTCTTAGTCTCAAATTATCTGAGTCTAATATAATGTGGCTTTAGGCTAATTATAGGTCATGCAACCTGTTTATTTACTATTAATGATTATTATGGCTATCATTTATGTATCAGCAAAACTAATGTTAGAAAAAATTAATGGATGTTTATTCAGCATGTTATTTTCAGCTATAATTCACGTAAATGTAACTAAAATAAATGTTCTTTATATGGTGTATACTGAGCATTTTTGACATTAAAACCAAAGCTTCTTTTTTCCTAGTTGAAGTTTGAGTTAAGAAATTTTCATGTACTGCTCTGTGAGCTCCATACTATTGTATCTGGAATTATGCTGCAGACTAAATTCTAAATGGCCCCTTTGAATGTATTAACTATACATTAGTCTATACATTATAAACTATAAGTTTTAGATGTCAAAATTGCCTTCTTAAAAATTTCCTTTAATTTTTAATTAAATGAAAGATTGACTTTTTTATTTTAGTGCACAGTTCTATGAATTTTACAGGTATAGATTCCTGTGATCACTATCAGAACCAGGGTACCAAAAAAATCCCTTATACTAACCCTTTATAGTCATACCCTTCCCCCATTCTAGCTCCTGGTAACTACTCTTCTACATGACTATAGTTTTATCTTTTTAAGAATGTCATACAAATGGAATTATATAGTAAGTAACCTTTTTTCATACTGACTTCTTGCATTCTATCTTTGAGATTAGTACAAATTGTAGCATGTATCAGGGGTTCAATCCTATGTATTGTTAAGTAGTATTCTGTTGTCTGGATATACCACAGTTTATGTATCCATTTAACTCCTGAAGGACACTTAAATTGTTTAACAATTAAAAATAGAGCTGCTGAATACACCTGTGTACAGTTTTTGTGTGAATATAAGTTTCTAATTATCTAGGGTGAATACCTAGACTTGGGTCATATGGCCAGTGCATGTTTAACTTTATAAGAAATTAACAAATTATTTTCCAGATGTACCTTTCTGCATTCATATTAGCAATGTATGTGAGTTCCAGTTGACTTTTTGTTTACTTTTTTATTTTGAGATAACTGTAGGTTCACATGAACTTGTAAAAAACAATACGGATCCTGTATACCCTTCACCCAGTTTCCCCAATGGTAACATCTTACGTATTTATAGTAAGAGTATCAGGAAACTGAAACATTGATACAGTATACTCACCTTGTTCATATCTCACCAGTTTTACATGCACTCATTTGTTTGTGTGTGTTTAGTTCTATGCAATTGTATTACATAGGTGGCTTCATGTGACCATCACCACAGTCAAGAAATAGAACAGTTCCTTCACAGGAATCACCTGTGTTACTTTTTTGTAGCTACTGCCACTTCCTTCCTTACTTTCTTCCCTAGCCCCTGAAGACGTTTAGCCTGTTCTCCATCTTCATAATTTTGTCATTATAATAAAGTTGACTCTTGCAGGTTAATTTTATACCCTGTTACAGTTACAGTTCAGTCTCTCAGTCGTGTCCTACTCTTTGCGACCCCGTGAACCAGGCCTCCCTGTCCGTCACCAACTCCCGGAGTTCACCCAAACTCATGTCCATTGAGTCGGTGATGCCATCCAACTATCTCATCCTCTGTTGTCCCCTTCTTCTCCTGCCCTCAATCTTTCCTAACATCAGGGTCTTTTCAAATGAGTCAGCTCTTCACATCAGGTGGCTAAAATATTGGAGTTTCAGCTTCAACATCAGTCCTTCCAAAGATCACCCAGGACTGATTTCCTTTAGGATGGATTGGGTGGATCTCCTTGCAGTCCAAGGGACTCTCAAGAGCTCCAACACCACAGTTCAAAAGCATCAATTCTTCGGCACTCAGCTTTCTTTATAGCCCAGCTCTCACATCCACACATGACTACTGGAAAACCCATAGCCTTGACTAGACAGACCTTTGTTGGCAAAGTAATGTCTCTGCTTTTTAATATGCTGTCTAGGTTGGTCATAACTTTCCTTCCAAGGAGTAAGTGTCTTTTAATTTCATGGCTGCAATCACCATTTGCAGTGATTGTGGAGCCCCAAAAAATAAAGTCTGACACTGTTTCCACTGTTTCCCCACCTATTTGCCATGAAGTGATGGGACCAGATGCCATGATCTTAATTTTCTGAATGTTGAGCTTTAAGCCAACTTTTTCACACTCCCCTTTCACTTTCATCAAGAGGCTCTTTAGTTCTTCTTCACTTTCTGCCATAAGGGTGGTGTCATCTGCATATCTGAGGTTATTGATATTTCTCTTGGCAATCTTAATTCCAGCTTGTGCTTCTTCCAGCCCAGCGTTTCTCATGATGTACTCTGCATATAAGTTAAATAAGCAGGGTGACGACATATAGCCTTGACGTACTCCTTTTCCTATTTGGAACCAGTCTGTTCTTCCATGTCCAGTTCTAACTGTTGCTTCCTGACCTGCATACAGGTTTCTCAAGAGGCAGGTCAGGTGGTCTGGTATTCCCATCTCTTTCAGAATTTTCCAGTTTATTGTGATCCACACAGTCGAAGGCTTTGGCTTAGTCAATAAAGCAGAAATAGATGTTTTTCTGGAGCTCTCTTGCTTTTTCTATGATCCAGCATTTATCTATGTTATAGAATGTATCTGTACTTCATTCCTTTTAATGGATAAATTAATATTCCATTATATGGATATTTGTTTTGTTTATCCATTCATCAGTTGGTAGATGTGGCTTGTTTCCATTTTATTGTTGTTTTTTCCATTTTTTACTATTATGAATAATGTTGCTGTGAACAAGAGTTTGTTAGTTACAAGTTTTTGTGTATATATGTTTTAATCTTTCTTGGATATATACATAGGAGTAGAATTTCTGAGTCAAATGATAATTTTGTTTAACTATTAAAGGAATTTGGAGAAGGAAATGGCAACCCACTCCAGTATTCTTGCCTAGAGAATCCCATGGACAGAGGAGCGTTGGGGGCTGCTGTCCATAGGGTCGCACAGAGTCAGACACAACTGAAGCGACTTAGCATGCATGCATGCATTGGAGAAGGACATGGCAACCCACTCCAGTATTCTTGCCTGGAGAATCTCAGGGACAGAGGAGCCTGGTGGGCTGCCATCTATGGGGTCGCACAGAGTCGGACGCGACTGAAGCGACTTAGCAGCAGCAGCAGCAGCAGTGAGTTTTAAGTAATATTTCATGGTTTTGATTTCCATTTTCCTAATAACTAATGATGTTAAGCATCTTTCCATATGGATTTGCTAGCATTTTGTTTAGGATTTTTGCATCTGTGTTCATGAGGGGTATTGGTCTGTCTGTATTTGTCTTTTCTTGTACTGTCTTTCTGATCTTAGGATCAGGATGGTACTGACCTCATAAAAATTACTTGGAAATTGTTTCTTCCTATTTTAATTTTCTGTGAAAAGACTATGCAGAATTTGTACTATTTCTTCTTTAAGTGTTTGGTTGAATTAACCCATGAAACCATCTGGATCTGGAGATTTATATTTTGAAAGGTTTTAAACTATGAATTCAATTTTTTAAATAATTGTAAGGCTATGCAGTTATCTATTTCATTTTAGGTGAGTTTTACTGGTTTGTGGTTTCCAAAGAATTGTTCCATTTCATCTAAATTGTGTAGTTTTTTGGAATGTTCCCTGATTATCCTTTTAATGTCTGCAGGGTCCATAGTAATAACCCCTCTTTCATTCTAGATACTGTTAATTTCTGTCTTCTTTTTTCTTTTCAGTCATATTAGGGGCATATTAATTTTATTGGTCTTTTCAAAGCTTTTGGTTTCATTGACTTTCTCCTTTGCTTTTCTTTTTTCAATTTCATTGATTTCTACTGTGATATTATTTCCTTCCTGCAGCTTGCTTTGAGTTTATTTTTCTCTTATTTTTTAGTTTTATTAAGGTGGAAGTTTAATTGATTTGGGACCTTCCTTCTTTAAACATTTAATGCTATTTATTTCCATCCAAGCACTGCTTTAAGTTGCATTGCACTAATTTTGATAAGTTGTATTTTCAGTTTTGTTCAGTTCAAAAAATTTTCTAATTTCCCTTGAAACTTCCCCTTTAACCTGTGGATTATTTAGAAGTATGTTGTTTAATTTTCAAGGGAGAATTTCCTGTTACCTTTATGTAATTATTCTATTCATTATGATCTGAGAACATACTCTAAATGATTTTGATTCTTTTAAGTTTATTAACGTTTGTTTTATGATCTAGTATAGGGTCTGTCTTGAAAACAATATGTTCTGTAGTTGATAGGTGGAGTGTTCTATAAATGTCAGTTGAACCTAGTTGTAATAGTGCATTTCAGTCCTTCCATATCCTCGCTTATTTTCTGTCTACCAGTTCTACTGATTACAGAAAAAGGAGTGTTTGTGTCTGCAGCTATAATTGTGAATCTATTCTCTATGCAGTTCTGACAGGTTTTGCTTCATGTAGTTTTAAGCTCTTCTACAATTATTTGCAATTATTATATCTTCCTGGTAAAGTAACTCTTTTATTTTTGTATAATGAGTCCTTTGTCTCTAGTAATTTTATTTTCTTTGAAGTCTACATTTTCTTATATTAAGTCATTCCAGCTCTCCTTTGATTAATATTACAGTATATCTTTACCCATATTTTACTTTTAGCCTACCTACATCATTCTTTAAAGTGAGTTTCTTATGGAAAGCATCTAATTAAGTCATTTTTAAGTCCATCCTGATAATCTCTGTTTAGTTGATGTGTTTCTACATTTAATGTAAATACTGACATGTTTGGATTTAGATCTGCCATCTTATTATTTGTTTACTGTTTGTTTCTTCTATTTCTCACTTCTGTTTCCTCCTTTCTTGCCTTCTTTTGGAATATCTGAACTTTGTTTTTATAATTCCATTATAATTTATCTGTTTGGTTTTTTTTTTAGTATATCTTTTGTTGTAGATATTTTTAAAAGGTAACTCTAAAGATTAAAAATTAAATTCTTAAATTTTCACACTACTTAGAATCAATATTTTACCACCTTGAGTGAAGTGTAGAAACTTTGTATCATTTTAAGTTCCTTTAGACTTCCTACTTTATATTGTAATCATAATTGTTTTATATATTACATCTATCTACATTGAAAACCCACTAGACAGTGTTATGATTTTTGCTTTCAACTGTCAAACATATTTTAAAGAATTCAAGAGGAGAATAGTCTATCAAATTTACCCAAATATTTATGATTCTTATTGTCCTTTTCTTCCTGGTGTTCTAACTTTCCTTCTAATATAATTTCCCTTCTGTTTGAAGAATTTTCTTTCACAGTTCTTTCAGAGCAGCTCTGCTGAAAATAAATTTTCTTATCTTGCCTTTATCTTAGAATGTCTTTAGTTTACTTTTATTCCTGATGGATATTTTTGCTGTGTGTAGAATCCTGGTTGACTGCTCTTTTCTCTCAGCAATATAAAATTCTTGTTCCATTTTTTTCCTGCCCTTCATGGTTTCAGTTGAGAAATTCACAGTTATTCAAATCATTATTCCTGTGTAAATAACACATAATTTTTCTCTGATTGCTTGCAAGATTTTTCTTTATTCTTAGTTTTCAGTAGTAACCAGAATGATTATTTTTTTATTATTACCCTTATAATGATTTAGTTCATCCTCTTTGGGGTTCACCAGAAGGCTAGAGATTGTAGCTTTATTTATTCCACTCTGTTTTCCTGCCTTCTTCCCACAATTGCACCTGTATCTGGACCCAAATGGTGGGAGGAACAGAAAGAAACGAAACACAAATACCAGCAGGGGCTCACACTCTCAGGCCCACAGCTACTCTGACTGGAGAAGTTTTTCCTCCCTCAGTTTTAGAGACCTATGGGTCCCAGATGTC